CAGTCCCCACGGTTCGGCACGCATGTGATTCGCGGATTAGCTGTTAAGTCAAAGAGTGAAAGTTTATAATTTGCACGCGTTTTGTCTTGATATTTTACACATTAATGTAAACAGCTGTGAAAAGAAACCGGATGCGTGTCAATATTAGGTCCGTGCATTTGGTCTTAAAGAGGCAGCAGCCTATAAACACCTGCTTCTGTCTGCTAATCAAACATCACAGCTTTAACAAAGATTAACCTGTATTTAATTTATGCAGTGAGCATTATTGTGTTGTTTTACACTTAATTATTACAATTCTGCACCTGAATACTACTGTTACTGACTTTATTTGTAACTTTAAGTTGTATTCATCTATGCTTGTAATTTGTGTAATTGTTCTTTATTACTGACTTTATTAGTTAGTAATTTCTTTTGGGGTATAAAAGTACATAAAGCACGCTTTTAGTAATAAATGAATTTCTTTCTTTCTTTTTTTGCTGATCCGTGACTCAAAATACATAGTATGATTCGAACCGTAAGTTTTGTGATCTGTTGCACCACTAATTTTAATGAACAATACTTAACGGTTTATAATTTGTGTTAAAAGCAATAATTAAAAAACATGCCATTTGAACTATTTTGGAGTATCACATCATGAGATCAGTATTGTGTATTCCTACGTCCCTAATTTATTTGATTTAATTTCAGCTTTATTTCAGTTACTGAAAATGATTTGTAATGGTTTTAGTAGTGTTGTCACGGTACCAAAATTTCAGTATTCGGTACCGATACCAGTGAAAATCCACGGTTCTCGGTACCAATTTCGGTACCAAAGCAAAACACAAAAATATGCTAATTGAACAACATTTTTATTAATAACGTTAAACAAAAATTAAATGTACAAAACCAATGCCATTCTTTATACTTATTTAAAAGTGTTTCAAGTTTTTCCACAAGTAATAAAAGTATGAAAAAAGTAAACAAGTTTCACCCAAAAGTTTAGTCATAGTTCTGCTGCCACTGAAAGCATCTGTAAACTGTTGTCTGTTTTAGGGTTTGCTGGCGTGTTTCAGGATCTTCCTCAGTGTGCAGCTGTAAAAGGAAAATATAATATACTTCAGTAAAGCAATGGGCTGAGTCTGACCAAATGCAACATTAGATCATTGACACCAGCTAAAATATAACTTTTCAGGAAATAACAAACCTCAGCTTTTATAATAAATTTAGATAAGATTACGACTTGGTACCGAAATACCGGGTCTTTTGACAACACTAGGTTTCAGTAAATAATTTTCAACACTGGCTTTTACTGATGGACTTAACTGGTTTAACCTGGCAGGTCTTTGGCTAGTCTAGCTGATCTCCCAACCTAGGGCTGGGCGATAATTCGATAACGATAATTATCACGATATAGTTTTCCTCGATAAAACACTATGAAGAGTTCGATAAATGTTCGATATAATGTTTATGCGCCAAAAGCAGAATGAAACAGCGCGACTCATTTGAATCGCGCCACATGGACTGTTTATCCGCTCGGATCAAAGTTTAAACTGTTGCGAGCTCAGAGCAGATGTGTTTACTCGGTCATGCGAGCATTAAACAGCGCTGTGAGATCCAGCGTGAAGTGCTTGAATTCAGCGATGAACACAAATGACTCTGTGATTTAAACTAGTTTAAAGCCAAACAGGAGAAACACTGTGTGCAACAAGACAGTCAGAAGGCTTTTCAATCTACACGTCGCTATCATTTAACATGGATTTACTGTAGTTACACTCACTGCACCATGGTATTGTGGCAGAAATGTGGGATATCCACGTTGAATTTTATTACAGGAGTAATGGTATATAATTATAGTATGTATTTGTGATTAAGCTATAGCATGTGTGCATTTATTCTGTATATTTTTAGACTACTGTTTTCCATACAAATAGGCTACTTAAAAACCATATAGTTATATTTTTAACATGGTATTGAGGTGCTATATGTGTGGTTTTAACTGTGTTTATCATGATTTAAATGTATGCTACTATGGGAGACCAATGCTTAATAAAAAAACTTAAAACAAACTTGGTCAGAATAAATTTAACCGTATAAAACTGAGGTTGCTACAATTTTTACAGATGTTACTGATTTTGATAATCAACAAATATTTACCTCTGCATCCTAACTCAAGCTACTGTCAAATGTGCATTTCTAAGAGACAAAAAAGTGATATTATTATTAATATTATCAGGCAACCCAAACCTATCTCTTGATTTGAAACGATATCACTCATTAGAACATGCAGAAACTAAGAAATTAATTTTTCTATTTAGATATTTCTTTTGTTAAGGAAAATGAATGGTCTGGTTTCTACAACTTTCACTTTGGAGCAAAAATCTGTCTTTAAACTTGAAAGAAATAAAGATTTGACATTTATCGTGATAATTATCGATATCGACTGGTATGAAAACAATTATCGTGATATTTTTTTTGGCCATATCAGCCAGCCCTATCCCAACCCCACCAGCCAAAAACCAGCAAACAGTGAGACCAGAAAGCGGCTTAGACCTGCTTAAACCTGCATTTCAGCAGGTTTTGGTTCAGATTTATAAAGATTCACAGGCACAGCGGTTCAATCACCCAAATTTAGTACCAAACTTTATTCTTGGTTTTCGCCTAAATTAATTTCTAATTCGGTGTTTCTGTAAATATCTCATTTTGAATCATCCCTAGGTCTCTAGTTATGACTCGGTTCCTCCTTTAATGGAGAAGTTTTCACCCGTTTTATCATCTGTCAGGTGAATATGGTAAGTGTGATTGCTTAGGAAAGCAATAGCATTCCTCTCGTCAGTAAGCGATGTGATTTATCATTGAAAAACTACAGGCAGGGCTGAAAGCAAGAACTAGACATCGGCTCTGGGATCTGCCAAGACTTTAGAGCCGCATACATACACCCTGTCACCATGAGCGGCCAATATGAAACCCTATAGTCCCTCTGGATGCTCAGGATAAACTTACTGACACTATCAGCTCTGCGTTTTACCGACACGACATACATCCAATACCTAGGATTGGAAATTAAAATGATTTGCCTAATCATTGTGATCTGACAGTTAGGGTAATTTAAAATAACATGTTGCTAGACATTATGTTAGGGCACAAATAAATGGTCTCAACAGAATACGAAGTATCAATTTTCCCTGAGCCGCAACCCTACAACAGAAGCAGGCCTAAGTGATTTCCAGTCCGGTTCAGACAGTAGAAGCAATCTCACATGGGAGATGACGGAATCGAACACTGAGGAACCATAACAGATCCAGGCTGAGCGAGCGACTGAAATCATCCCCCAAAATAACCAGCACTGTTTTTTGTTAGTTTTCCCATCTAACATTTATATTTTATTTCAGATAAAAAAAAATAAAAAAAAACAGTTTTAGTTTTAGATAACAATATCCAACACTGGTCTGGTTTAAGATGGTCTTAACTGGTTTAACCTGGCAGGTCTTTAGCTAGGCTAGCTGATTTCTCAACCAAACCAGCCTAAAACCCCTATAAAACCAGCCAACAGACCTGACTAAGAACAGTTAAAGGGTTAGTTCACCCAAAAATGAAAATTAGGCTGCGTTTTACTCACCCCCGAGGCATCCTGGGTGTATATGACTTTCTTCATTCAGACGAATCCAGTCGGAGTTATATTAAAAATTGTCTTTGATCTTTCAAGCTGTTTAATGGCACTCAGCGGCAATTTTTAATATAACTCCGACTGGATTCGTCTGAATGAAGAAAGTCATATACACCCAGGATGCCTCGGGGGTGAGTACAACGCAGCCTAATTTTCATTTTTGGGTGAACTAACCCTTTAAGACCAGAAAGCATCTTAAACCTGTTTTTCAGCAGGTTCTGGTTCATATTTAAGATTCACAGTCACAGACATATTAAGCATACAGTTAAATAATGTCAATTTAGTTCACTCTTCACGGTGAAAAGAGCCTGTAAATACAGATTAATCGACTATTGGTAAAAATTCAATTGCATAATATTTCCTACCTACTCACATCATCTTAAATAACAGTAAACAGTCCATATGGCTTCAGAAGAACATACTTTCATTTTGTATTCAAATCCACAAAACTCGCTGTACAGTATACAAATCTACTACAGGTGCAATAAAATATCAAACTTTTGTACTTAAGCGACCTTAACTTGATTGATCTGCGTTGAAACAGATTATTAAACTTCCGCACTGCTCTTCATCGTCCAGAAATTACTAATCCTACTATGCCGAGGCATCTTAATATTCATAAGCGGAGCCTTTGCTATTGGCGCGCTACCAAGAGACGTCAGCGGCAAACGGTCCGTCGCCATTGGAGCAAACTCGGGATGGACTACTTAATATTCATGAGCTCCTCTTTGTCATAGTAGGAATTTGCAATTGTTCGTCCGGTACTATGGGGCGTCACCCGAGTTTATACAGAGAGGCTCGTAACTGTCACATGGATGCCGCTAAAACTTAACAAATTAGACAACAGACAACATGTTTACATTCAGTGTTAGACGTGAAATCTTTTCCGGTAACGGCAAGCTGGCGGGAAAAGAAGCAACGGTCAGTCTGATCGATTACTAGAGTCTGACTCAGTGTAAACCGATCTGATTCACTGTTTAGATGCTTGAACGGGTTTCATTGTGACGGGTGGATAAAAAATAATCTAATTAAATAAATACTATATGATTTTGTATTTCTATTTTCATCAAATAATTTAAAATAAAACGCTGATTATTAAAAGTACAGAATTGTACTGGAATCCATCGATGACTGATCGTCCACACATATGTAAACATTCTCCATGCAATTATAAAAACGCACCAATAATCGCCACAAATATCAACTAACGATAACTGTGTGTGTAAATTAATACAAATATGTGTTTTAGGTAAACAATACTTGCCACTATGAGTCGGTCCACTTGGTCACCTTACAATATTACACTGCAATCTAACGATTTATGCTTAAAATAACACACAAAAAATTGTCACTTCACCTCTGATTCCCCGGATACAGTCACTCTCCAGATGTCTTTTACTTCAGCTTTTCCTGGGTTGCATTAGATGTAGCAGACAGTCCAGTGTGAACAATGTGCTCCGCTGTAGTGTGTATTTGTGTGTGTGAAATGTGTGTGTGTGCAGCACAGCCTACGCCCTGCCCCACACGACACACAGCCCCGCCCCTCGGCCCAGTCACCAATCCCAATGCAGCAACGGCTCAGCTCATGAATATTAAGTAGATCCTGGTGACGCTAAACGGTATCTTTCGCCGATTCCAGAAAAGTGGCTCGTTTAGCGCCTGGGAGGCTGATCGACCGAGAACACAGCCAATCACAAGGCTTGGTCCCGCCTCCAAAAACACAACAACCAATCGGATTAGTACAATCCACACCCGCCAGAATACGTATCTTCTGCTTTGCACCGCTTTGCACAGCCGTTCAAACGTGCTGTATCAAATTATTTTTCGAGCGTGATTATGCAAAAGTTTATGAACAAGTGGCACTTCTTGTTTCTTTATTTACAGTGTAATTCAACTACTTAATGCTGAAGTTTATGACTAAACTGGGCCACAATCGTAGAGTTTTTGTATTAATTTAAAACTGTTTATGAGTTCCTATGCCTTCTGGAAAAAAGGCGATTAAAAAAAACTACATCGAATAGCTGTCCATTCATATTTGTTAAATTTATAACTATTGTTAGTACTACTATAATTGTGATTTATAATTATATTACTGTAATTGTAGTTGTATAATTACTGGTAAATTCATATTTGTTTTTCAAACATATATTTTTAATTCATGTATTTAGACATTTTAACCCTTTGTGTATATTTTGGCCAGTCTTTGTAATTTTTAGTGAGTAAAATATGTTTTAAAATGACATATTTTTAGTGTAATTTTAAGGGAAAGGCTATAGGCAAAGACTGTTATTGTGTTTCCCCAGGGTGCCACAACAACTGAACACACAATAAGAACACTAAACTGTAAAGCATCGTAATAACGCAAACATTTGGTCTATTATTGAGTCAATAAATAACTTCAGTGTGAATGTAACATTCATCTACTACAGACATTTTTATCATTTTGTCACGTTTCTTAATGAACTACAAATCCCACGTTTGCCCGTATACAGGAAGTAGATCCCGTATCCAGGAAGTAGATCCCGTTGCTAAGCAAACTTATCCTCTAGCTGTCCAGTTAGGCAGAAGATAAATGCTACACTGAATATCACGTTAATTAGGCTCAAAAGGTAAGAACATAGTTAAACTGTATGAAATACAATGCTAATATATTGTATGCTATTTTAACAGTTTACTTGAATTTGCCGTTTTCTTTAAAACGGTTAACATTTCTTCAGGGCAGATGCAATAAAGGTTAGAGATGTCGAGTGAAACATCGATAAAGAAGAGACCAGGCACAGCTCTGTCCATCGTGACTGAGTTCAGTGGATCTGGTTTATTAAACTCGATCAGAGTCTCTCACCTCACAAACTGGTATTAAATGGTTAGTTCACCCAAAAATGAAAATTCTGTCATTAATTACTCACCCTCGTGTCGTTCTAAACCCGTAAGACCTTCGTTCATCTTCGGAACACAATTTAAGATATTTTTGATGAAGTCTGAGGGCTCTCTGACCCTCCCATAGACAGCAAGGTAACTACCACGTTCAAGGTCCAGAAAAGTACCAAGATGATGGACAAAGTAGTCCGTGTGACATCAGTGCTTCAACTGTAAAGTTACAAAGCTACAAGAATACTTTTTTGCACAAAGAAAACAAAAATAATGACTTTATTCCACATTTTCGTCTCTACTACGTCATTACACCGGATCTGGGTCAGTGCCGCCACATGATCGCATCATGATACTGTCGTGAACGTGCATCCACAAGTGACGCAGTAGAGACGAAAATGTGGAATAAAGTCGTTATTTTTGTTTTCTTTGCGCAAAAAAGTATTCTCGTAGCTACTACTTTGTCGATCATCTTGGTACTTTTCTGGACCTTGAATGTGGTAGTTACCTTGCTGTCTATGGGAGTGTCAGAGAGCCCTCATATTTCATCAAAAATATCCTAAAATGTGTTCCGAAGATAAACGAAGGTCTTATGGGTTTCGAACAACACAAGGGTGAGTAATTAATGACAGAATTTTCATTTTTGGGTGAACTAACCCGTAGCTTCGTAACTTTACAGTTTACAGTTACAACTTCGGCCAGGGGGGGGCGGAGTCAAAAGTAACAATTTTATATTATATAATTTTATTTTATTTCATTTTATTTTTATATTAATTTAAACAATTAATATCAAACAATTCTGTTCATTTAGTAACATAAATATATGTTAGTGTAGGCTATATCTTTAGAGCTTTATCATTCATTATCTTCTTGTCGATCCAGCAGTTCACATTTACAACTGCGTGTTTTCTGCGTAAAAATAAGGGTCGTTTTTGGCTTTGGTCTAAACAGAGAGCAGAAGAGCTTATTGAAAAATGCAAATTCATTCTCTGCCAGCAGGTGGCGCTTTTCGCCAGGAATATAGCCGTTTCCCCGGTAACCGCAGTAAACAGAGCCGCGCAGCACCTGACTTTGAAACTTGCAGTGCTCATATTTAATCAATTAAATAGCCTTTTGAAGTGCAAGCTATATCTCATTATACATGTAAATATTTACATGTATATTTAGTTTTTTTTCACTGGAGCACCACCTGAGTCTTCTCCTCCCATTTCTACACTGAGCATTGTTTTCTTCCCGCGGTACTACCTGCGCAGATATCAATGGCATCACTGGGCTGTAGGTTGCCAAGTTGAGGGGACAAATGGGTTGAAATTTGTTTGCGTCGAATTTGTTTGCGTCGTGTGAGAAAGATGCGTTTCATACAAGATCTGGCAACTGGACAACCTTGCAATTTGTTGACGTTATTATTCAATGAGGTTTGGACCATACAAATTACGGGAATTTTACCGGAAGCGAATGTAGCAAACATATAAAATACGCCCAGTGGGATTTTTTTTTAAATAAAAAGTTTAAAAATACGGGAGAAATACGTGAAAATATTTAAACGGGATGATAGCGGCATAGAATGTTAAAATACGGGAGAATCCCAGGAAAAACGGGAGGGTTGACAGGTATGGCCTAAAGTAATGTGAAGATTAGGCAAATAGTCTGGTGACGTAGGACTGTGCGCAACTTGTTGTTTGTCTAAATTACCTAATTTCCGGTAATTTCGCAAATTGGCGTCGTCGGTAGTTCGGACATCGCAAGTTCGACTCGGGATTGTGAACTCCCGCGGACGGGACGACGCAAGTCCGTACTTGATAACATCAGTCAGCTCGCTTTGGCTACTCTGTATTTGCAATAAGACGAAATATGATATCAAACACCACTGCCTCTTTTCGTTTCATTTAAACATAGGCTATTAATAGCCCCGGAAAAAACAGCATTGCCTCTTTTCATTTTCATTTTAGCATATTAATAGAATAAAGACCAAAGATTACCTGTTAGATTTACCTAAAATGAATTATATCTCATGTTTAACCAGTACAGAGACATCAGAGCTAGCAGCAAATGTCAGAAGGACTAGCCGAGTTGAGGCTGCTCTCGTCGGGAAACACGAGCACTGAGCGCCCGCTGATCGCCTGGAGCTCACATCTCCGAAACTTTCATATAGGCGCTGTCTTTATAAATAAACCGCAGATTTGAGTTTTAAACAACTACATTCTCTCCTGAAATATTCTTAAAACTACATTTCATGACATAATAACAGTATTTTGAAAATTATGTTTATAAATGGTGAATGAAATGCAATGCTGTGAACTCAACCAATCAGCATGCTCAGCGCCCAAGTCCCGCCCCCGAAAGTTCCTGACCTTTGAAAAAGTACTACCTCGTGAGCAGGGACTTTCTGAGAGGCAAATTTTTACCAGGAACTTTATTTAGATACTGCTTCCTGCGGTGGAAACACACCGAATACCGGCCCAAAGTCTCTAGTTCCTGGTGAAAGTTCCTGCGGTGGAAACAGGCTTTTTGATATCAAGATTAAACAACATGAACACCATTAAAAAACACCATAAATGTAAAATGTACAAATAAAAGCCAAAGTAGGCAGGTGCCAACAGCTTAAGGCCTCATCCTCAAAAACCAAACAAATAGAATTTATAAAAGAATACAGAACCCATACATTTCACAGAAGATAAACATGCATTGAGATATAATAGTATAGACAGAGGGTTGCAAAATTCCGGGAATTTTCACGACTGGAAACTTTCCATGGGAATTAACGGGAATATATGGGAATTAATGGGAATAAACTGGGAATTTGCAAAATTGCAGGAACTGGGAACTTAGATATAGTTGAGAAAAAAATATTGCAGCATAATTTTGGTTAAAACAACCAGATTTAATGCAATTTCATTTCAATTCTACACTACACATTGCTCAATCACATGCACACACTGCTTAGTGCAGGCCACACCCCCTACCTGCACAGTGCATTCCTCCTTAACATGCACAAATCATTTCTTGAATCCTGCACACAAAACATCAACATGTCCATCTTGGTGAGTATTCATGTAAATTACATGAATATTACAAAAATGTATGTTTAAAACTTCCCTGTGTTGTGTGTAAGCTACTGTGCAACTAAATTATACCAATGTAAAAACAAATACACTGACTGAGCAAACATTTAGGTGAGATGATAATAATAAAAAACCTGTCTAAAATGACCCTCCCCCACACACAATCCCCTCTAGTCACCTAAGAGAGGGATTCCCCTCCATTTTCTCTGAAGCCACACTTGATGCATTTGAGCCCAGAGACTACATTTAACTTTTGATATTACTTGGGCAAATATATTTGATCTATGGTGTTAAAGTTTAACTAGCAAATACCAAAAAGTATTTATACAGTATAGCCAGATATGAAAAATCTAAGCTAGTTAGCACTATTTAATTGACAATGTATGAGGCTAGGTATCATGTGCTAGCTAGCTCAAGCTGTCATGCTCTTTCTGCTAGCCAGTTTTCTGTTATCATACAGAAGTACAGTACTGGTCAAAAGTTTGGACATGTTACTATTTTTAATGTTTTTAAACATTGCATCTCTTTTGCTCATCAAGCCTTCATTTATTTGATCAAAATACAGAACTAAACGGTAATATTGTGAAGTATTATTACAATTTAAAATAATGACAAATACTGATAAATATAATACTAGAATGTATTTCTGTGATCAAAGCTGAATTGTCAGCATCATTACTCCAGTCTTCAGTGTCACAGGATCCTTCAGAAATCATTCTCATATGCTGATTTATTATCAATTTTGGAAACAGGTGTGCTGCTTAATATATATATATATATATTTTATTATTATTACCCGTGATACTTTTTTCAGGATTCTTTGATGAATAAAAAGTTTAAAAAGAACAGTATTTATTTAAAATAGAAATCATATTTTAACAATACACTACCATTCAAAAGTTTGGGGTCAGTATTTTTTTATTTTTTTTTTGAAAGAAATGAATACTTTTATTCAACAAGGAAGTTAAATTAATAAAAAGTAATAGTAAAGACTTATATATTGTTAGAAAATATTTCTATTTTGAATAAATGCTGTTCTTTCTAAGTTTTTATTCATCAATAAATCCTGAGAAAAAGCATCACAGATTCCAAAAAGTATTAAAAAATGTGTATTAGTTTGCATGCATGTCAGCTTATGATCAAACAAAATGTTTGTTTATGTTTGTATGAGAGACAGTTTCTATAAATTTCCCCAAATTTCCAATTAATTCCCGTAAATTCCTGTGAAGTTTCCAATTTGGAATATTTCCAAAATTCCCCAGATGAAGTTCCCATGGAAAGTTTCCGCCCCTCTGCAACCCTACAGAGGAAGTAAATCAGATATAGGCTTATTATTCTCAGTATTTCCTCAGGGATCTGGGACCCGGTCTTTCTCACCTGCAGGTCTTATGTCTGGCTCGATGTGGTCTGACCGACCTGGAGGAGAGTTCTGCTCTTTCCTCCTTAAAGATATCCAACAGCATTCAGAGGCAAAGGCTAACAGAGACTGAACCGATAAAAAACTATTTTTGTTTTTCTAATATGAAAGTATTTTAATAGGAGAAACTGATTTCTTGAATCCTGCACACAAAATAATTTCAAAAAAGGTCCATCTTGGTGATTAGTCATGTAAATTACATAAATATTACACAAATGTATGTTTAAAACTTTCTTGTGCTGTGTGTAAGCTATTGTGAACCAAAATGTAAAACAAATAGACTGACTGAGCAAACCTTTAGGTGAGATAATAAAATAAAATAAAAAAAACTCTGTCTAAAAAAGGCCATCCCCCGCCCTCTTAGTCACTTAAGAGGGGAATTCCCCCCCGATTTTCCAAGCTCTGCCTATCACAAGACTATTGAAGGCACAGTTCTGCATTTGAACCCGAAGACTACATCCATTCAAGTAAGTTTTGATATTACTTTGGTAAATAAATTTGATCTACGGTATTAAAGTTTAACTAGCAAATACAAAATTATGTTTATACAGTAGCTAGCTAGGCAGTAAATCAAGTATGCTACATGTAAGCTAGTTTATGAGGCTAGATATAATGTGCTAGCTAGCTCAAGCTGTGATGCTCTTTCTGCTAGCCAGTTTTCTGTTATCATACAGAATACAGTACGTTACTGGTCAAATGTTTGGACACACTACTATTTATCATTTTTGATAGAAGTCTCTTATGCTCATCAAGCCTGCATTTATTTGATCAAAACTAATATTGTGAAATATTACTACAATTAAAAATAATGGTTAATATACTTTAAAATATCATTTATTTCTGTGATGCATCAGCCAATACTCTAGTCTTCAGTGTCGCGTGATCCTTCAGAAATCATTCTAATATACAATTTTATTATCAATATTGGAAACAGATTTTTGTTGTTATTTTTTGAAAGAAATTAATACTTTTAATCAGCAAGGATATGTTAAATTGATAAAAAGTGATAGTAAAGAAAATGATTTCTGTTTTGAATAAATTCTGTTCTTTTAAACTTTTTATTCATCAATGAATCCTGAAAAAAGGATCGCAGGTTCCCAAAAAATTATTAGACAGCGCAAATGTTTCCAACATTGGTAATAAATCAGCATATTAAAATGATTTCTGAAGGATCACGTGACACTGAAAACTGGAGTATTGGCTGATGAAAATTCAGCTTTGCATGACAAGAAATAAATGATATTTTAAAGTACATTAAAAAAAGAAAGCCATTATTTTAAATTGTAATAATATTTCACAATATTACTGTTTTTCTGCATTTTTGATCAAATAAATGCAGGCTTGCTGGAATGATGAGCATGAGACTTCTTTTTTTTAAAAACATTAAAAAGTCAAACGCTTTTGACTGGTACTGTATATAAGTTATCGTTTGATTTAGCAAGCATGCCGATTGAGACGTATTTATTCCTCTAGCCTATTTCTATTCATTTGCAGCAATTGTAAAATGTTTATATTAAAATAGTTTATATATCATTTTATTCCACAGAACAATGCCACGCACACCATCTCAGGTGTGGATACATTTCATCTCAGCCAATCTGGAAGGAAAGGCTGTGTACAGTTGCAAATACTGTGCAAAGACCTATGTTAAGAATGCCACAAAGATGCAGCAGCATATAGCCAAGTGCCCAAAGTTTTCCCAGAGCTCCAAACAAGCAACCCCAGACAAGAGTTCATCTGCTTCCATCCGATGTGAAAATGATTCCGATTCAGACACCCTCTCGTCAGCTCCCGGCCACTCTGGAATTGGAGGGTTGTTGGACTCAATGGATGAACGTAGCCAGAAAAATGCTGATGAATGTTTTGCTCGAGCAGTGTATGCAACTGGCTCACCTCTGATGCTCACAGCCAATGTCTATTGGAAGAGATTCCTGAATGTCCTTCGCCCCGCGTACACACCTCCCTCCAGTCATGCTTTGTCTACTCATTTGCTGGATAGAGAGTTCAACAGAGTGCAAGCAAAGGTCAAGCAAACCGTTGACAAAGCAGACTGCATTTCCATCATCTCTGATGGGTGGTCAAATGTCCGGGGACAAGGAATTATCAAGTACATTGTCACCAGCCCTCAATTAATATTCTATAAGAGCACAGACACAAAGGACAACAGACACACAGGCTCCTACATTGCTGATGAGCTGAAAGCAGTCATCGGTGATCTTGGACCTGAGAAGGTTTGTGCACTTGTGACTGACAATGCTGCAAACATGAAAGTTGCTTGGGCACACGTGAAGGAGACCTACCCTCACATAACAACAATTGGCTGTGCTGCCCATGCTCTTAATCGTCTCCTTGAGGACATCATGGCACTGAATACAATGAACACACTGTACAAGACAGCGAAGCAAGTCGTGAAATATGTGAAGGGCAAACAGGTAGCTTCAGCAATCTACCTCTCTAAGCAAAAAGGAAAAAACAGGAACGCCACACTGAAGCTCCCCAGCATCACTCGATGGGGTGGGGTTGTCATCATGTACGACAGTCTGCTAGAGGGGAAGCCAAGATAGAAGGGGATACTTCCATCTTGTCAGATGTTAAATATCTGTTTGCTGAGCTCAAAGAGGAAATACAAACCGTCCTGCCCGCCTCCCTGCTGCTGCAAGCGGAGGAGACTGCAGTGGTCAAGTCCCTGGAGAAGCACCAAGAGTTCTGCATGAAACCAATACACGCAGCAGCATACATGCTGGACCCAAAGTATGAGAAAAGCATACTCTCTGCTGAAGAGATCCGCAGTGCTTACGCTGTTATTACTGCCATGTCTCACCGTCTTGGGCTTGATGAAGGCAAGGTTCTCGGCAGTCTAGCAAAGTACCGTACCAAGCAAGGCCTTTGGGAATGGGATGGGATATGGCAATCGTGCCAGCACATATCTGCATCTACCTGGTGGAAAGGACTTTGTGGATCTGAGGCACTTGCGCCTGTAGCGTCTATCATCCTTCAAATCCCACCAACATCAGCCGCCTCTGAGCGCAACTGCTCACTGTTTGGGAACACACACGCAAAGGTTCACAACAGGCTCACGAATGCAAGGGAGGAGAAGCTGGTGGCCATCCGGGCAAACCTAAGGCTCTTTGAGCCTGACACAGAGCCATCCTGGACAAGGCTGGACTGTGACACCGAAGATGAAGACAAGTCAGATGTTGAGGAAGCAGACATGGAGGATGTTGACGAGGTCCAGGAAGAAGCCAATGAGACCTGAATAGATTAAGAGGAAAAATGCAGAGACTTAAGAAGCATAGGAGAAAATTTTGAATGGGACTTTTTTTGGAAGGGGAAGGGTGGGGAATGCTTTCGTTTTAAAGCAAACATAAGGAAATACGGGTTTTTTTGTTCATTCAACATTGTGTTGCTCAATGAAAGAATTAATTAAAGTTCTAATTACAATTACATCAGTCAAAAATGTCATTTGTGCATTCGTTTGCGTGCATGTCAGCTTATGACCGAACAAAATGTTTATGTTTGTATATACAGTTTATATAAATTTTCTAAATAATTCAAATAAATTCCTGTAAAGTTTCCAACTTGGAATATTTCCAAAATTCCCGAGATGAAGTTCCCATGGAAATTTACGGGAACTCTTCCGCCCCTTTGCAGCCCTAGTCAGAAACGTGGATGGTTTTTGCTCAGGAGATGAATGTGGCCTTCAACAGCATCTCAGACCTGAGTCCAGTCAGTTTGCTGGAGGATCTGGAGGAGAGCGAGGTTGAAGATCTGGCTCAGGTGTGGTATTTGGGCTGTTGTGTGAAGCTCAGGAGCCTCTGAGGTACATGAAGGGTTTACGAACAGAGCATGAGAGCGAAGAGGCTCAGCTTCTCTGTGGTCAAGCAGACTAATGGTCCAGACAGATAACGATGTCTCCATATAGCCCATTATATCACAATGACTTGTTTTTGAGCACTTAAATGTAATGCTGCCCCACCTCGTCCATTACACAAATGACACAATAATACATTTGATGTTAGAGAACTGAAATGGACAAGAGAAAGGATTGATATGAAGGTTGGTGCTAGTGCATTTCCAGCTAACAAGCATATGCTCTAAGAACATTTAGCTAACATCCCATTAAGATTTGGAAACATTACTTCTACATTTTTTATGAGTATTCAAATCAGCCAGGTTTTTATTTATTTATTTTATTTTTTTGGCTATTTCCAACATTAAAGAAAACATTTTTTAAAAAAGTTCAATTTTATAATTTTGCAAGCGTTATGGGAACATTGCTATTCAATGTTTTCTGAACGTTCTGAAACAATTAAGTTGGCTTGAAAAAGTCATTTAAAACATTTAAAATTCAAATTTAAAATTCAAACTCATTTAAGCTTCCACTCTAATCTATCTATCTATCTATCTATCTATCTATCTATCTATCTATCTATCTATCTATCTATCTGTCTGTGTCATCTATCTATCTGTCTGTCTGTCTGTCTGTCTGTGTCATCTATCTATCTGTCTGTGTCTGTCTGTCTGTCTGTCTATCTATCTATCTAAATCATGCTAGCAATATGCTAATTCATGCTCGCAACATTGTATTTAGCTAGTTTTTGCTAAATGAACTGGTTTTAGCTGTTTTTACTGGTTTTCGCTAAATTAACTGGTTTTAGCTGTTTTTTGCTAAATGAAGTAGCTTTAGCTGGTTTTAGCAGGTTTTTGCTAAATTAACTGGTTTTAGCTGGTTTTCGCTAAATTAACTGGTTTTAACTTTTTAACAGGTTTTTGCTAAATTAACTGGTTTTAGCTGGTTTTTGCTAAATGAAGTGGTTTTAGCTGGTTTTAGCTAAATTAACTGCTTTTAGCTTCTTTTTTTGCTAAATGAACTGGTTTTAGCTGTTTTTACTGGTTTTAGCTGGTTTTCACTTAATGAACTGGTTTTAACTTTTTAACATGTTTTTGCTAAATTAACTGGTTTTAGCTGGTTTTTGCTAAATGAAGTAGTTTTAGCTGGTTTTAACAGGTTTTTGCTAAATTAACTGCTTTTAGCGTCTTCTTTTTTTGCTAAATGAACTGGTTTTAGCAGGTTTTCGCTAAATTAACTGGTTTTAGCTTCTTTTTTTGCTAAATTAACTGGTTTAGCTGTTTTTTAGCTGGTTTGCATTAAATGAACTAGTTTTAGCTGTTTTTACTGGTTTTAGCTGGTTTTCACTTAATTAACTGGTTTGAACTTTTTAACATGTTTTTGCTAAATTAACTGGTTTTAGCTGGTTTTTGCTAAATGAAGTAGTTTTAGCTGGTTTTAGCAGGTTTTTGCTAAATTAACTGGTTTTAGCTGGTTTTTGCTAAATGAAGTAGTTTTAGCTGGTTTTAGCAGGTTTTTGCTAAATTAACTGGTTTTAGCTTTTTTTAGCTGGTTTTCGCTAAATGAACGGGTTTTAACTTTTTAACAGGTTTTTGTTAAATTAACTGGTTTTAGCTGGGTTTTGCTAAATGAAGTGGTTTTAACTGGTTTTAGCAGGTTTTCGCTACATTAACTGGTTTTAGCTTCTTCTTTTTATGCTAAATGAACTGGTTTTAGCTGTTTTTGCTAAATTAACTGGTTTAGTTGTTTTTTAGCTGGTTTTCATTAAATTAACTGGTTTTAATTGGTTTTAGCTGGTTTTTAGCTAAAACCAATTAAAACCAGCTGCAAGTTAGCAAGTTTTACCCTCTCTGTTTTTCTGATTGACTGTATTGCCTTCAAAACATTCAAACTTTAATTTTTTTAACTATTTTAAATTTCAAACTACTTCAAACTGAAAACCTTCAAACTTAAAGCTTTTCAAACTTTTTCAAACTTTCTTTCTAGGCTTTTTCAAGCTCACTTTAAGTTTGTCTTCAAACTTTTCTTTTAAATCTAGTTTAGTAACATTTAAATACGTTAGACAAACATCCAACTAAACTGTTTCAGAAAAACAGTCTATGAACAATGTTCTACTAATGTTACTGGAATAACATTTGTTCGTAACATTGAGAGAACCTTTGAAAACGTTTTTGCAAAAAAATTGCTGAGAACTTTCCCCGCTAGCTGAGTTTCTATGTTTTGTTCCTTAGGTTTTATGTTTAGGCAGAACAAAAAAAGTAAATAATTATAAATGTTATTAATATTATTTGATTGTTTTATTTATAATTGGAATTTATATTAATTATATCATTCTTATTTACTCGATTTCTATATATTAGAAATCATTTCATAAATATGTTCATTTCATAAATGAAGGACGCCCTCATTTGCTTTCTCTCTGTCTTTCACTCACTTTCTTTACTGCGGATCAAATCCGGGGCTTAGCACTTCCTTTCACAGCAACAAGCGATGTTTAACTGATATAGATGAACACTTGTTTAAAAGTTCAGGGTCTTTTGGGAAAGAAATGAATCCTTTTATTCAGAAAGCATGCATCAAATTGATGAAAAAGTGTCAGTAAAGACCTTTTCATTGTTATGAAAGATTTCTATTGCACATAAATACTGTTGCTTTTCAATACGTCAAAAGATTCTGAAAAAATTGAATTATGATTTCCACAAAAAAATTAAATAAATAGTACAACTGAACAAGATTTGAACACTGATAATAAAAATGAACGTTTCTTTAGCAGTAAATCAGCATATTAGAATGATTTCTGAAGGATCTGGACACTGAAGACTGGAGTAATGATGCTGAAAATTCAGCTTTGATCACAGCAATAAATTACATTTCACAATATATTCACATATAAAGCAGTTATTTTAAATTGCAATAATATTTCACAATATTACTGTTTTACTGTATTCTTGATCAAATAAATGCAGCCTGTGTGAGACTTTTTTTTTTAAATCCCAAACGTTTGAATGGTTGTCCAACCATGTGTCAAAGTATTTAATGAGGCAAATATCTGGTAAATCTCCACTCATTCTCAAAGTTTAACACCACAGATAATCAAAATACTTTAGTAATGAAATCTTGTACAGCCCTTTGCTGCAAAAATCGATAGAAAATAATAATAATAATAAATAAAGCTAGATATTCTGAAGAGTGCTTCATGACTGTTATAGTGTTTTGACTAGAAAGACACAAAGTACTCGGATAGATTGCTGACAGGTGGTTTGTGCTGCAGGTCTCGGGCTACAGCTTCAGGTCTGCGGTGCGTGAGCTGATCTTCCTCGATGACGTTCCTGCTGAAGAGGACAAACCTCAACGCTGCAGGACGGGACTCTTCTCAGAGAATCCATCAGAGGCGCTTCGGTCAGTGACGGCCTGCAGACACAGCTAAAGACAAACAGCAGCTTCTGAAGAGCACTCGTGTGTTTAAGAAGCAGTCTCTCCATCAGAAGAGAGCTCTGTCAGACCCACGAGTCTCTCCAGGCGTCCAGACAGCGCCAGACCGCTCTCTTCCTGCAGCGGATCAAGACCAGTCGCCGTCCAGTGATCTGAGCAACGGTAAACTCCTGCGCACACTTCATGTTCACGACACGCTATTCTGACTCAGAGCTGAGTGAGCTACAGGAATAACAACAACATCACAGCGTGGCTTCAAATGAAGCCGTTAAGAAAGCCATA